CCAAAGAGGATGGACGATATAAGCTGCGTCTGGGAAACCAGCCAAGCCCGGCTCTTACTGATGCTCCGGCTCTTTGATTGTGATGGGGATCCTGCAGCTCTTTTTTTCCACTTAGCAAGACATCAGCTGCTTCAAGCAGCATCAACCAGCCAAAAGGGGTCTGGGACAGCAGAGAACATGGAGGGGAGGGAGGGGGAATCAAAGAAAAATATACAAGAAGGGCCTTGAAATAAAATACTTTTGCAAAATCTTCATTACTGATGCAAGGATCTGCCAGCATTAATTACAACTAAACTGCTTTCAGGAGAAACCTCCACCAAATGGAGCTGATTACACTTCAAATTAAGATAAAAAGCAGTCATTTATATACTGCAGAAGAGCAGACACTTACTAGCGCTGCTTCTGAAATGCTGTCCTTTGATTTCCTTTCAAATCTGATCCTGCCAGAATCTGAGCGTTTTTCAGGACATCACTACTGTGCCAGCCTAAGGGGAGCTCTCCGTGTGCATCCCCAGCCTCTGGATGACACCTGCCTAAATACAGCTCTGGTGATAAGATAACACAGTCCTTAAGGACAGGAGGGCAGCTGTGCTCTCCCCTTGCTGCGTGCAGTGGCACAGATAAAGGGAGCCCGTGCTGCAGGTGGCTCCTGCCAAGCAGGAGGATGCCAAACATACAGCCGCAGGGGTCGGCAATGCCTGCGTTCGGTGTGGTGCAGACATGCAGTGCACCTACGCACAAACACGCTATGGACCAGGAAATAAATGGCAAGCTGTTGGTGAACCCCTCGCTGCTTTACCATCAGTCCTGGGAACTCTCCCCTGCACAGAAGGCCGGACACGTGGCGTGGCTGATCATCCCCACTGCACCTACGTCCAGAATTTAAGAAAAAGCTCTAATCAGTGCTCTTCCCTAATTCACACCCACCGCTTGCCTCTGTGCTGTAAGTTGGGGCAGGGGCAATCACTGCCACTAGTGTATGTTTCTATATTTCCAAACGTCAAATACAAATTATAAAGAAGAAAAATGTGTTTGTGCACACATGTAAACAAAGAATGCGATCACTTCTGAAATACTGAAATTACCTCAATCAATCATCAGCTAATACAGTGCTCCAAGAGAGGCTCAGCTGTAACTAGGTGATAGATAGTTGCCTGAAGAATAGGTATTTCCAAATATGTTACAATAAAGCTGACCTGTGATTATAAACTCAGACCTCCAGGTCTGCTGTGACATTTAGCAGCCTACCATCATCCAGAAGGGTAGAAATAACACTAATACATAAGAAATAACCTTATGTTTTCTAACTTGCAAAGAAGTAGAAAGCTGAAGCTAGATTATGCCCTCAAAGGGTTGTGGTTATGGCTCAGTGTCCGGGTGGAGATCCTCGGGGGCTTGGCACTGCACCGAAAGCATCACGGCCAGCAGGGCAAGGGAGGTGATTCTCCCCCTCTGCTCTGTTCTTGTGAGACCCACCTAGAACACAGAGGAAGCCACGAGGATGATCAGAAGGCTGGAGCACCTCTCCTGTGAAGAAAAGCTGAGAGAGCTGGGGTTGTTCAGCCTGGAGAAGAGGAGGCTCTGGGGAGACCTCACAGTGGCCTTCCAGTGCCTACAGGGGCCTATAGGAAAGCTGGGGAGGGACTTTTTGCTGGGAGGTGGGGTGATAGGATAAGCACCAGAGCATTAACTTCTGCCAGATTCAGAAAAAATAAAAACATTCTTTCAACTACGCCGTACAGACAACTGTACTAAATATGGCCCTATTTTAGAAGAGAGGGCTGGCATTTTACATACATGCAGTGTCTCTAAGAAGCCACCCTGCACGTAAAACTGGGCCTGGGTACCTTGACTTTGTGAAAGCTGTCACAGACACTGAAGGTCACAAGCACATCGCAGTGAACTGTTGGAAAAACTATGGCAGTAATAATGCAATAACTTCAAAAATAAAAAAGAGGCATATGTAACCGAGAATCAGCCCAAACAAGGAGTAGTTCTGAATTCTTTAGCGCCAGCTCAGTTTCCAAGCACGTCCTGCTTTGCAGGCAATACTCACATTTTTTCACTTCCTTCCAGATTAAATACTTTCTCATTTCACAACAAATGTTTTAAGATTTGTGACAGCATTGCCTCTTATTGTTGCAGAGCATAATAACTGATTTATCTTAAAGAGGGATTAAAGAGTCCTTAAACTATTCATCTGCTTGCTAAATCATGAACGACATCGTAATTTAGAACGATAATTTATTAGAAATCTCTGACAGATCCTGAGTTTGGGAAGCTAAGCCAAGCAGATACTTCTATTACAGCAACAAATTGTTCCATGGTTTAACTCTGTGTCTTTCCTAGAAGACTGGATGTGCATCACCTTGACTCCGGACATTACGCTAGAAGGTAATGAAGAGCATTTAAACCAGCTGTTATCTAGCAGCTCAGTATTCATGATCTAATTTGGAAACTGGATTAAACTGCACGGATTAGCACACTGCTGTACAGCTGCATGGATTTAAAGGTTGTCACGACAACCAGTAGAAAATGTATCCCCCTAATCCTCTCTGAGCAGATCTGTCTCCATGCAGCATTAACAAGATTTATCACGAGCACAGACATACTTACAGTTATTTTATTGCAGAGATCTAGATAGGTATAATCTCTAACTCTCTCTGCAGCTTAAAATACCAATTCACAACCACAAGGAAAGAGAGGCTCAGATTATGAATGACTTCTGGAAGCAGTGAAATGTCCTCAGATGTTATCTGGAATGTATAATATCTTAAAACAGATTAGTGTTTTTCAATTAATTTGTAAGGGTACTGAGTACACAAGTATGTATTTATGTTATCAACATAATAAAGTGACTATTATCCCATGCTTCCCACCTCAGGTAGAGTTCCTCTCATGCTTAAAGCGTAGCAAGAAACTCAAAGATGCCTATTTCAAAGTTATCTTTCTCAATACCTTCCCTGCTGCGGAGAGAAAAGTCTTTGGTATTATGCTTCAGGAAAGAAAGTCAGGAGGTGAACTGCCTGCTTGCAGAATTATTTTTTCTGTGTAATCATAATAAAATACAAGGAAAAAAAAAAAAAAGGAAAATAAAAGCCATTTACCTATTTTAAAGGAGCAGTCAGAGGCTGAGCTGATTAACATCTGCAGTTAGTGTCCTAAAGCAACACAGTGCAGAGTGCTACCTACTCACAAAGGACTAGCTTTTCCCAAACACACAGAGGAGCCAGCATGGAGATTTTGCCATTGCCAGCTGAGAGTTTCAAAGGATGGAGTTTCTTGCCTGCCACACAGTAAAAATTAGGAAGAGAAGCAAGCACTCCCAATTCCTGGGGCTCTGGAATAGTGCCTGGGGCCAGGACTGCCCATGCAAAAGTTGTGTGTGTGTTTCCACACAGCTAATCCCATTGCTTGTCAGTACAGTTCAGATTCATGTGCTCTCTTTTGTCATCTTCCCCACCCCAGTGTAAGTTTGTCTCCAAAAAAAGCAAGCAAACAAACAAACAAAAAAATCCAAATCCATGCCAAAGAGCACATTTTGAACATATATCTTACAACCATCTGTCATTCATACTTTCCATAAACAAAGCACCACAGCTGACACAATGCAGTATCTGCTCAGGTCAGTGCCCTGAACCTCACAGAGTGGGAACTCACAATGCACGCACTGCAAAGAGCATCCTCCTGAGAAGTTTGACCTACAGGATGCAGAGAAAAGTCCTTTTCAGCAAAGTGCTAGTTTATGAGTTCATTGTAATGCTGCTGCACTATGAACCAGTTATTTTCCAGTGCTTTTTTTTTTTTTTTCTTCAAAACAGGATGACTATATCAAAATGTGTTACAATAAATGATTTGTACTTGCAGGAGTGCAGGACTTGTGTGGAGATCAGCTGTGTTAATTTACAACATCACTTGGAACATTTTCATAAGACTAAGCTAAGGACCTCACAACCAGAGAATGTTTTTAAAAACACCCTAGAACTTGCACTTTTTAAAACAACAGTCTCAAAAGATCCCCCAAAAGCAACTGTAAGAATAGCAAAAATGAGCACATTCAGGTATATTTGTAGCATGCGATACCACAGATAAGAAAGGAGATATCAGTTGAATAAAGGCTCCAGAAGAAGGATGATAATATTTAAGTGGTCAGTAACAAATAAACTGAAGAAAATTATTCTCTCTCACTTACAGCAATAGGATTGCTCAGCCTGTGGAACTATTTTAGACTGAGAAAACATTTGAAAAGAAGTTACCCAGAGCAAGAGAAAATGCTTCACAAAAATGGCGAGAAGAAGAAAATAGAAAACTAATTTTCCTTCTCTCTGGTAATGTTAGAAGCAGGGGTGTAACAGGGACCGACAATACACGATTATGTACATGTATTTAGCATAGGACACTTTGCAACAGAAGTCTAATCTTGCTTTTAATTTACTTTATTATTATTATTATTACTTTACATACACACACTCTTTTCTCTCCCTGAAAATGAGTATTCTTTTTCATTTTATTGTATTTTCCTTCTTACCGGGGGGGGGGGGGGGGGGAGGGCAGAGGGGAGGGGTCAATCTAAACATGCTCTAACACACAGACACCTCTGATTTCAGGAACTCTGCACGTCAGGAGCCAGCTTCAACACCAGCCTACGTCCTGAAAGGGGCAAGACCTGAAGGGGGAGAGCCCTGAAGGCACAAACTTCCCGTGACACATGCTGATTGATGTCCGTCACCCCTTGTGCCGGCCCCTCCACCAAACAACGCCCCCAGCCGCAGACCCCGCCGCACGCCCTGCCGGGCAGCCCCTAGCTTCCCCGGCAGTAACAACCCCTTTCCGCCGCCCGGCTCCTCCCGCAGCCCCAGCAGGGACCAGGTTTCCCCTCAGGCGGCTCCAGCGGCCGGGAGAGGCTCCCCGAGCCTCCCCGCCTGAGGGGGTCGGGGCCATCCCCGCTGCCCGCCTCAGCGCGCCCGCCATTTTCTGCCGTCAGGCGGCCCGCCATTTACCCGCCTCCCTCGGGCGGCCCAAACCTTGGACAGCTCCGGGCCTCGGGGCGGGCAGGGGCTGCTCCCTCGGCACCCCGCCGGTCCGGGGGGGACGGGCAGGCTCTGTCCGGTGCCTCCGTCGGGTGACAGCTTCACCTCGGCGAGAGGAGGGGCGGCGGGGGCTGGGTGTCCGGCTGGCAGCCCCCGGTGCGTGAGGGGCACCCCCGGAGGTGGAGGGGGCGGCTTCGGGTCTCCCGGTGGGACAGATTTCTTCCTCACAGGAGGCGGCCAGCCTTCATTTGAAGGACGTGGAAACGGGCTCAAGCGTTTTATGGATGACAAGGAGCCTTTAACAAATGAGAAAACCTGGCTGGCAAAACGTAACGCGGAGCTGCACAGGCATTCCTCGCCGCGTGTAAAAGCCCCGTCACGGTGTGAGCACAGGCAGAGTCCCAGCGTTGTCCCCAAGCCACTAAACTGCGTTGGGTTGAGCTGGTGAATCGGAAAAAAAGGCTCCGTCTTCTGTTAGAGCTGCCTGAACTGGCGACCGCTTGAGAAAATAACCACTACAAGAGAAATGGTACCTCCGAAGGTACAAAATATTTGCACTTCATTTAACAGGTTGCTTTAATTTTTAAAACTATTTTCAGCAAAGCACTAGTTTAAGGACAAACTTGTTAGAAACAACAACAAATTAACTCCATGTTGCAGGCAACTATTTATCACCCAGTTACAGCTGCGCTTCTCCTGGAGCACAGTATTAGTGATGAGCTTTCTTCAGCTCAAGGAAAGTGGTTGTCCTAAACAACTAATCCTTTCTTCCAGATAATAATTCAGCAGCTCTCAAAATATCAATCAGCCCCCTTTTCCTCTCCCCACCCTAATTTCAGAAACAGTTTTTGGCTTTTCATGCATATTACATATAAATCTGGAAGATTACCTCTAACCTGAGTCTGCATTTAAAGTTCACAGTCTGTCCAAACACACCACACACATTCCTGTTCATTTCCTTTTCCATTTCTCACTGCCTAGACCCCCCCATTGGTTTATTCCATTAATTTAATTCTACAGAAACTCAGCTGTTCACTCTGCAAGCCAAGACAGGCTGCAGACTGCAGGCAGCAAGTTCCACAGTTCTGTAGATAGACTGTAGCAAAGTGGCCATTACAGAGAGCAGCCAGAACTTCCGGCTCCCCAAATCTTCCCTCTAACAACTATAGGTCTACAAGGGGGAATGCTTTCCAATGGAGTTACTGAAAAAAAAACTTTCACTCTGCTCCTGAGGCTGTCCTCAGCCTCAAATCCATGCCCTTGATGCAGCATGGCCTCAGCTCACACCCTTAGGCATTGCAAGGCAACCTTTGCCTTGCCAAACACCTGGGAGAGGAACTCCATAGCTACAAATACCAGTTAGGATCTATGACTGGTTTTGTCCTGCATAGAGAAAGAGTAAAACAGCATCCCTCTCCTTCCTCCCCTGAAGGTGGACCTGCAGGATTGCTCCTACCCCTGCCACGCTCCCACCTGGGCTCAGCAGCACTCTGGATGAAGGCAGCACTGGGCACAACTGAGCATCCTTGCTCTACTAACTCACAAGCCATTGTTGAAAATGGGACATAAAACAAAACAAATTAAAAAACAACCAAACAAAAAACCAACCAAACAACCAAACAAAAGTGCTTGCTAAGCTACAGCCCTGTTGCCAGTACCACCTAATATCTTTAGTTTTGTTAAGACATGCAGACAGACAGTTCCTTTAATTCCACAGATACAGGTATTGTGTCCATATGCACAACTTTACAGATACCTAAAACAAACAGATACACAGCAAAGCAAGCAGGCCTGTCCCCTGCATGTTATCAAAAAGCCAAGTATAAATACAATAGCCGATTTCCACTTGCATGATTAGCATTGTGCCACATCCTTCCCTTAGCACAGAAGATACTATTTGCAACTCAGGAAACAAAACACATCATTAAAAAAGAATGCAAGTTACATTAATCAAATTGTTTGAAATTTTAATTGAAATTTGTGTTTGTTTTGCAACAGTTTCTCAAGAAGTACGATGAAACACATGAATAATTTTGAATGAGACTGAAAAGCACAAGCTTGAGGAAATAATTCCGCCTTTGGAGACGACTGAATAGAAAACTTGGTTTTAACTAAGATCTACGGGATTACTAAGTGCATTAGGGAACTTCCTTGCAATAATTCCTCCATTCAGTTAAGGCTTTAAAAAGTTTTTCAGAAGTATGGAACAAGGCAATAACTGGGAATCAGAAGTCCTTAGTATGGCTGAACACAGAGCCAGACCAATATTTCCTAAACAAACTTAACTTCATAGTAATGAGCTATTAAACTTATTAAAATGGGATTGATTCTTATCACCGGGATCTGGCACTGTAATTGCCAGTCACTAAATTGTTTCTTGTTTACTGGGTGAAGCAAATAATGCAACATTTCATGGTTGGTATTATTTTATTGTCTAATATTGATTAAAATGTTTACACTCCTACTTTTCAATCCACAGCTTAGCACTCATACCTATGGCTTTTACTTTTATTTTTAGCACAACATCTTTGTGTCAAGTGTCAGAATTTCATTTCAAAAAAATCCCCATAACCAGGAACCTGATACCATATAGACAACTCTTTTCTATACTTGTTTAAACAAATTCATTTTCAAAAATGAAGATTTATAAAAGAAGAATCTGCTGGTAGCTTTCTTCCAGCTCATGTTTACCACAGATTCTATCAAGCTTTTCCATTTTAAGATGTTCATTTTAGAGCGTCTTATTGCCACTAAGTGGAATCTGTTTCCTCCCTCAGCACCCCCCCCATTCTAAATTTAATGCAAAAAAATCAGTAGCTGACAATTTTAAGCAAAAATATAAAGCACTATAACATTACCTACATTGCCTTTTTACTGAACTAGGTTCTTGAACACTTTAGAAGCTTTGTGGAAATTTAACCAGTCACTGTTGAAAAGGCACAGGATTTTTGTGCTCTCAGACCTCCAGCAAAAACAGCTTTCCCCCAGACTGAATGTTCAGAAGTTCCAGCTTGATGTAAAGCTTCTCGCATTAAAGAAATGCAGGGACTGCTGTTGGATACAGTACTGCGTTTGGATGGCAGTCTGCCCAGAAAATTCACAGGTATCCGAGTGGTCACTTATACTAGAACCCACCAGATTTTACTAACTCTTCTGCCACAGACACCCTGCAAATCTGTAACAAGAGTTTGCTTCTACTGAAGAGGAAAAGAGGTGAAGTTACTCTTACATATACCCAGGGATGGTATAACAGCAAGACAAGCTATTCATTATTAAAATCATCACAAAGCTGTCCATTTCTGCGGTAGTTCCTGTTCCATGGTATTAGATGAATGACAGTTATTCTTCACATATGACAGAAGTGTAGTTGTATATGAAGAAAGCTAACTTTGGTCCACTTGTCCAGCTTGCCAAGGACAGCATATTGGAAAGATGACCACTGACAGTTCAAAAAACAATGTAAAAGTTAACAAAAATAATTTGGTATTTCACTCTTAAACCTGCACGCGGTTAATTGACCTAATCATCCACCTTTTCAGTCTTCATGTCCACTAATTGTTGAGCTTTTAAGTCTTCAGCTTGTTCATGATCCCCCTTATCTGCATCATCTACGTGACTAGGTTCTTTTTCTTCTGCTTCTCCTTGATCAACACTTTCGTATTCTACTTGTTCAAGGTCTGTTCCATCTATAAGTTCTGCTTGTACTTCTTCCATCTGTATTTGATTTACATGCTCAACGTGCAACTGCTCCACATGAACTTCAGCACCATGGTCAGTCTGAATGTGCTCAACCTCCAAGTAACTAATTTGCACCTGTTCTTGTAGTTCATCCAACTGTGCGCCTTTCACTTGATTATCCTGTATGAGATCCTGGTGCATCTGTTCCACAGTCACCTGTGCAGGATCCACTTGGACCTGAATTACTGGTAGGACATGGACTTGTTCCACTTGTTCTATTATAGTCATTGATGTTACCGGTTCAGCTTCCACTGGAAGAACCTCTTCTGTCATTAGTTCTGAAATATTGTGCATCTCTTTGAGATGCCTTCTCAGCTCACCGCCTTGCATAAACCACAAATCACACAGGGTACAGTGGTTGGGTTTTTCACCAGTGTGTATCACCAAGTGATCTTTAAATTGATCCCAGCTGTTAAACACGCTGTTACAAACCTGAAACAAAAGACAGAGCATGTTAAACAGTGCCAACAGAAATATGACAAAGCATGCTGCCTATTCCAGTCCATGGCTTCACACAGCGTAGCTTCTTGCTATGTAGATTTAAAACACACACACATATATGTTAGAGGTAAAAGCTGAGAAGTCAGTTCCAGATGAACAGAGCACCTATTATTACTTGAGAAAGTGTGACAGTTTGAGTTGTGCATATACAGCATAGCTACTGAATTTATGAGCCAGTACAACATTTGAAAGATTTCTCATTTCAAACTTACGTGAAATTCACATTCAGAAGCAGGCACCAGTAGTTCTGTGTCTGTTGCTAGAATTTGGGGTGGGAAGCTATTTGTGTAATAATACAGCATGATGAAAGTGTAATACAAACTGTTCTGTTACTGAAGTTCTAGATGCAGCACTACTAGCCTACTTTTCCTCATCACCTTTATTTTCTTCACAGAATTATGAGGTTTCACTGGCAAGACTAAACTCTGCCATTGTGCCTTTTCAAAATAAATAAATAAATAAATATCAGTGTATGAAAATGTCTTAGAGCTCCATCTCTGTTAGACTTGTCCAGCTAAAAGTACTGTGAAGACTGCAGACACAATATATTCACAGAATACTAGAACACACTTTATTCCCTTCAGCTGGTACTGAGGTGTGTAGCCCGAGAACAATACACAAGGACACTGTAGAAATTGCGTGTAGAAATGTGCCTGCGGGGGAAAGTAGGGCAGAGTCACACTTGGACTACAGAAACAGGGTCTGGAGTCTTTGGCCATGCAAGTGTTCACACTGGCAAAAAGAAACAAAGAACATGTTTCAACACTCCTTCACTGCTGGCAAGTATTTTAGAAAGAAAACATTCCATCTCTTTATTTTTTGGCAACAGCACAGAAGGATAATGGATTATCTGACAGGGATTAACTCAAGGAACAGGTCTGTAAAATGGACCTGAAAAAACAGCTGTTGAAGTCTGTTAAAAATGGGTTTGTGTTGTTATTACCAGGCTTTCTTCTCACCAGGCTCATGCTTTAGTAAGAGAGAAAGTTGGACAGCACACATTCAAAATACTAACCTAATAAATAAGCACTTAAACTTACTTTGTGATATATAAAGATAATAACGATTAGTAATGTCCAGGCACATAATTACTGACAGCCTAATTTAGTCCTCTAGACATACACTCAAAAGTAACAAAAACAGTCATCAAGCAAGTGCAAATTTTTTTTTTCCTTTCTTCAGGGAGCCGAGATTTTATGCACTGAACACTATTCAAACTTAATTCTAAACAAACTTCTCCAGGAATTACTGTAATTGCTGTGGGCTGAACCCACATTCAGCTACTAATCCATATTCACAACATCTGTGAGAGGACATGGCATCAATTAATAAACAGAAAGCTACAACACAGTGAAATTGGTCAAAATTGGTTAAACCAAAGGGTCACAACAAAACAGCATGTTCAACCTGAGGCTACTAGGTACGACTGCGTTACCCAGTAACTCTCATGATCAAAGCTGTCTTATCTTTAATTTATAGGTACACTCACAAGAGTTAATTTCAGACTAGGATAAAAGCTGAATAATACAATGGCAACAGTCAAACTTCCAATTCAATGATGTGACACACAAAATTCATCTATTCATCTCCTGCAGCATTCGCTGCTTTCTATGAATGAGATCTCTCTCTTTCAGAAGAAATAAAGCCCACGTCCAGAAGTTTTCTTTACTATACAACCCAAATTAACTTAAAACCAGAGTAAATTAAATAGGGTGAGAGTCTTAAGGGTAGTGGGTGTGGTAGGGGGAAGAAATGTGTTCTTAATTGAGACTGGAGCAGCAAAACAACAAATAAACTGCTACAGCCAACCTCAGTTTTCATGTTTCTAGCCTTTAAAAGCTGACTTTTAAGAGTCATGTAAAATTCTGAAAACCTTTTTGAATCCCAGTTACATATATTATCTATTTACAGCATTTATATTTGCTTAAAAGACATTACAGATTGTCATCATAATATGGAATGACTTTACAGACAAAGTCAACATACTGGGTACCAAACAGCAGAATAATAAAATAGGAAATAAAATAGTACTTTGTATTTTGGACTTTAGTGAAGCATGTTCACAAGCAGGATAGGCCTAGGTCAGTGCATCAAGAACCTTGAAAAGGAAGCAGAAAGATTAACAAAGTATTATGAAAATCCATACGAGTAATTCCACATTTTAAATGGAACTACTGAAATATAAAAATTTAACTGAGTGCTGTGGTTGAATGCGATCCTCATATTTGTTTAAGTGGTTCTTGGAGGCGTGAGCCCACTCTTGCTGCCTTTCCTGCTTAGTACTCCCAGACTCCCGCAGCACGGGAAGGAGGCACCTGGCCTCCGACTCTGCGACTTCCATTACCCACCTGACATTCATACAGCTTCTTTCTTCCCTTTTTAGCTCCAGCTCCAGACTGACAGGCCGCCAAGTGACATTTGAGCGTGCTATTCCTAGCAAAACGTTCGTGGCAGTTTGGACATTCGAAGGGTTTTTCACCTATTAAGACAGACAGGGATTTATAACAGCATAAAATCAAACAGTTTTCTGTCAGCTCTCCCTTCTTCCCCTCTTGCTGATAGACACGCTGTAAAGGCTTGGCCAACTTGATTATTCTACAGAAGAAGAGAAAGACACTCTGTGTACACTTCATTTATATAAATAAAAGGGCAAAGTCTTAACGTGGAATCATAATTCTCATTCAGAAAGAGACAATCTGACATAACTGCTGGTGCTAATTAAAGTCTGTTTAGGTTTTTAGGCAAGTTAGATCACTAACCTGTCAAAATATCTTAATGAAATAGCAGCTATTCCTGTCTTTTCACCTGGTAATATTCAAAGACTCAACATCAGAAATTATACGAAGTCACACAATAAAGGAAGTATTTAAAAAAATACGTTTTATTTTCAAGAACAGTAACAGCTTATGCTGAAGAGCTAAAACTAAGCTCCAGAAAAAAGATGGCACAGATTAACTATGAAGTAACAGTGTATCAGCATTTAACAAAAAGCAGAAACCAAATCAAACCGAAAATGAAAAACAGTGAAGACAAAGCAAAGAGGGACATGGCATAGATGGGCACAAGCAAGACAAAAATTCCTTTCTGTTCGGTCACTTCATTTCAAACCTGGTACCAAAAAGAGGAGCGCTTTCCACTGGGAAGCCAGCTAAGGACAGCAAGCAGGGGAGGATGAAAACAGGCTCTGTTTTCTCTTTTTATCCGAAGTAGTATACTGCTATTACTGACATCAAGCAGAACAAAGAAAAACTGGTGTCTGTTTACTAATTTCATCATGCATAAACACAATGAAATTCAAGGAAATGAAAATACAAAAAAAAAACCTCAGAACAGCATGTTTCTTCTGACTGTCTGGTAATTAATCTGTGAAGGTACTGGCAACAACCTAACTATTGAAACAAACTGCTTAATGAACACCAAAAGAGGCTGAGATGTTTCAGTGAATAATGTAAGAGTTTTTTCTATCTGGATTAAGATTTAAAGCCTACATTTTCAGGAAGCAGTAGTTACTGACTGGGATGGAAAGTCAATAAACCCATGTTTTCAGAAATAAAGATATTCAGAAGCGCCTAACTCGGTTTTCAACAGAAATCCACAAGTAGCCTATAATTCTTGCTTCCACACCCAAAGTCTACAGGAAAAAAAAAAAAAAAGTGTGAATATTCCCCTTAATGATTACCAAAGGCTATGTTTTTGGAGACTACTGTATAGCAAAGAAGATAAAGGAGCACAGAACTCACAGCACAAAACTTCACCAGCCCTGCCATATGGCCACATTTAAATAGTTACTTGGTGTCAGCCACCCCCCCAGTCAAGGACAGATTTATTCTTCTCTTACTCAAATTCTTCAGTAATCTTCCACACATAGTGACAAAAGCATCTGACAGTGACAATTCAATGACAGTGGTGGCAATATCCAAGAGCCAAAAGAAGTGTGACTCCGTGCACTGCACAAATCAGCACAGTGACCCAGGCTGCACAGCTCAGGGGAGATGGAAAGAAAGCACATGCACTATCCTGCCAGCCCAGCTACCCCCAGAGACACAGGAGCTCCTCTGTGAGAGATGACAGCCTGCTGCCATCCAGCTGTGAGCTTAGCCCCATCTAACTGTGATTTTATGAAGAGTTTTTTTTTTTTTCTCCTCTGGATCTGATCATCATCTTTTTTCAGTGTATTAGAAAGAATGAAATTTCCTTTGCCAATCTTAAGTAACTCAGGACAGGAACTGTCGGGAAAGAGACGGCCCAAAATAAGTGTTTTTAACTCAAAGGCCCCAAATAAACATTTTTAACCCAAAGGAATTTCTAACAACTAACACTGTGATTTCTATTTGCCTAATATATAAGAAATCCCATCCCTGTATATAAGAAATACATACACATAATACATATATATCTGTAAGAAATTCATCCCTGAACATAAAGCTACCACATCATTATTAAAATATGTTTAGAGAGAAACAGTAGTTCCCCCCCACCCACAAGTGCACCAAAAACAGGTATTTATCAAATGAACTCCACAATTATATATTCAAGGTATGCAAACGGAGTCCATTTGTTAACTTCTATGGAAGATGTTATTTGTAGTTTAAAGTGAGCCTCCTGTAAAGCATATTTTAAATTTACCACAGAATGTCAAAGACCATGATTAATTTTTTCTTAAGAAGTCTGTATAATCTGTATACAAATTATGTTAATTACAGGATTTCCAGACATCATGGCTGCTTGGAGCACAAAACTCCTTAATTTCCATCTTCACTCATGTGAGCACATGCAGCCTCCATAAAAAGCCTATCTTTGAGAAATATTTAGCAGTCAAAATTCCCAGGGAAATCGTGGGAAATCAAAGCTGTTCAGCATCTCTTTCTGGTAGGCGATGTAAACTTGGCAAAAACAAACAAAACAAAAAACCAAGGTTAGACAAGAATATCGAGAGCAGTAGCTTCCTTTTAAGATTGACTGCGGTATGAGGAAGCGGCTCTTCCTGTGCAAGACTAGAGTTACATGTATTAAATTCAGTGGGCATACATTAATTACAGTCTTGCAGAATTTGTCCTGTGAGTTACTTCCAACTAGTAATTAAAATCTCATTATCATGCAAGAAAAACAAAAAAACAGAATCATTACATCACATCAAAAAATCTCCCTTTTTATAAATTCTAGAGACGACTTTGTTAATATTTTCAGAGATGCATGACATGAATTTCTTTTGCACTCGCTACTCTAATGTTATTGCTGGTGTTGTAATTAAACAGCAGCAGGACGAGATCGTTTGTCGTACATTTTCTCCATGGGCTCTTAATTTTATTTTAGTATTCATCTAATGTTTAGAATTAAGAATTTAGAAAGTCTTTGGCTCAGTGGGAGTTTTTCCACTGACCTTAGGAAAGCACAGTTATCTGGTAGTATCATGTTTGATTTTAAGCTTCAGACTTTCAAAATGGGAAACCAAAAGTAATTAAATTCCATGAGTACTGCTTGTATCAATACATATTGATACAGTCCTCTGGGTCTCCTGTGATATGCTGTTACTTTGTGTCCCAAATTCTGTCACAACAGCAACTCCCACATGAAGATAGCAGAGTAAACAAAATAATCTACCAAAAACTTCTCTCTGAAAATACTTTCCTGATGTAGTTTGTAGCTGTCTTAGCTATGCCAAAGCAAACACTCCCTACTTTAATCCAATAAGGATTTGATAAAGGCTTTTTACAAATGCAACTCTGAAGGGGCTATTTGGAGTAGGCTGGGTAGTGTCATTCATACATCAATACACACCTGTCCCTGGTACAGAGAGGTTCCAATTAAAAGGCTTTAACAAGATAAAAAGACAGGGGCTGCTCCTCTGCATTAAATCTTACTGATGCCTCATGACTGACATATTAAACAAAACCACTTGGATATCAGACCATATTTTATATGGTCCTTACATATAAATACTTTGTAGGTATGATAATTAATATAATTATTCATATATAGTTTATATATAAAGTCATCTACAAAATGCTCAGTATCTGTACAGATAGTACAGACTTCTCATATTATAAAGGAAGACCGAAGGAGGCACAAGCAATTTTGTACTCAAAAGATGCTATCCAGATGTCAAAAAGGCAGATTTTACAGTAATGGAAGTCTACTATAGCCAGTAGAAATGTTTTGCTGTGTTACTTAACATGCAAACAAAACTGAATCACAGATGTCAAGACCAAGGATGAAACTGTCATAAGAGGCTATTTCACACTGACAAGCTCACAGTTCAGATCTTACTACAACAGAAAATTTTAACCAGGAGAATTGTGAAAATAAAAGTAGCTACTCAGTTTGGTACATTTGAAGTAAGCATGCCTTATGAAATAATTCTTAGAACAATGTTTAATACACTCAAGAGAAGCTTCATTAAGGTTTTCCAGTCCTGGGAGCATATTTTTAACCACTTAAAAAAAACCAAACAACTCAATACCTCACAGTTTATACCAATAGGAAAAAAAATCAGTATAGAATCATCAACACAATTCTATGATTCTTTGATTTTAGCTGTAACTAGAAGCTAAGTATTTCTAGCACTTGTGTGTTCTCTTCAGCATAACCTCTACTTCCCACAAACATTCAAAACCCCAAAATGGCAAAAGACACAAGTACGTGACTATAGCGGCGCTCTTACCTGTGTGCTTCCGGAGATGCTCTTTAAAATGTCCAAAGTGGTCAAATTGTTTATCACAGTACTGGCATATATGTATTTTTTTGCCAGGTCTTTGCTTCTTGCTGGCACCACCTTCATCGAGGTGGTAACAGGTGACGTGCTGTTTCAAAGCACTCTCTCGTAGGTACCTTTTATTGCATATGTCACACTTGTAACTCTCAGTAGAGTGTGTTTTCATGTGTTCCTTAAAATGGTAAAACAATTTAAACGAACGGTTACATTTCTCACAGTGGAATAAATTGTTCACGTGTGACAGCTGAAGTTCCACAATTTCAATACCTTCTACCTGTTTGCATGAGGGATCAGTTGCACTGTCATCTTCGTCTTTGATCTGGCATTTTTGCTCTCCCTGACGATACTTGCTGGTGATATCTGCCAAAAGAGCCAAAGCAGATTCATCTGTTGTAGCCGTTGTCTGTATGTACTTTATGGATTGCTCTGCAGAAGCTACTTCTTCAAGCGTCTCGACGCTATCATCTTCCATTTCAATTGTCCCTTCAGTAATCTCAACCTCAATTTCAACTGGATCTGATTCTGCAGATGGCAGTGTTTCTGTGATAACATTCGAAGTTTCAGCTATCTTCCACTTTTTTGGTTTATTTTTAGCTTGGGTTTGATTTGATTCTAAGGGTGATGAGTTTTCTTTGTTCCTGTAAAGCATTTGCATAAACAAGGTTAAGATTCACAAACACGTAACAAATCCTGCCTGATACTGAGCTTCTGCATTAAACACGTTCTAGCTGTTTTTAAGAAACTCAATGCATATAACCTGCGTGCATTTTAGAAGATAATTTGTCCTTACTCTATACTCATTAGTCCTGTAAAACCGCAAGTTTGGAGCTATGGAGACTTTCACATCGGGCAACTAAAATGTTTTAAATAGCTCTGCTTTGAGCAATACACAATGCATCAATAAAATGACCAGTTAGCCTAATGGCACAGGTTTATCTGAGCAACTTTTGAAATTCTGCACTTGAGAACTTTCACAAAGGGCAGAGTTCTTCTGCCTGCCTACTCAGAAATAATATTCAAGTCCTTCCTATGCTATTCACTGCTTAAGCTCTGGTGACTGACTTAGGTTCCTAGAAACCACTGTAGGTGTGACCTTACGCAATGATTATCATAACAGCTAGTACTTCAGGAAAGCACACAGGCTAAAAAAAACAACAAACAACAACAATTACAACAAATACTCACTTGGATGTGGAAAGAGTACTCTAATTTAATTTTCTGGTCTTACACAACCCCCCCTCCCAGCTCGGTTTCTCTTACCCCTGCACTACACACACACAACCTCCTTCCTCTGAGATGTCAGGGATAGCATCCCATTGTGATCTATGGAGTAATAATTCGTGTCAAGAAGATGGTTGATATTAATAAAGAAGGGGGAGATGAGGGAGTGTGGCCATGGGGGTTGGCAAGGCCCATGGTTGGTGATAACATCAGACTAAACGATGAGGCCATCAGGAATGTAAAATAGTTTAGAGGGCACAAAGAAGGGTGATTCAGGAGCCATGCAGTCTGGGGTTGCATGTTCTGCAGCCCTTAAGGCATGGAAGTTGCTGGGGGTTTGCTGTTGCTGTTATATGCAAGGTTGTTTGACCAATGGAAAGTTGTTGGAAAAGGACTGCTGTGGGGAGAAGGGTGTAAGAGGGGAGCCTGTCCTTGAGATGAAAAAGGCAACATGATACAATGAAGTTATGTCATCAATAAAGAAGCAGAAAGAAGGAATGAAAAGGAACAGGCTAGCAGAACAGGGACCAGGACAGGAACAGGCACATTGATTGCCTCATGAAGATAGGTTCGGCCAGACTCAGCAAACCGCTCAGAGAAGCTCGCACAGGAAGTTGCACCGGAGATGGGACGAAGCTCGAGCTGAGAGAAGCAGACCTGTGCAAACAACTGCCCCTCGCTGGTAAGCAGTTGCGCATGATGAGGAATCACACGTCCTTAGGAACGAGGACTGTCCTGGTAACCTTGCAGCTTATTCCCTTTATTAACAATCGGACAGATTATGATCCTGAAACATGGGACCAAATTGAGGTCCAGGTGTGGGACTCTGCAACTAAAAACGACAAGATTGCAGTGGGATTGCTCAGCACCTGGGAGCAGTCTCTGGGGCCTTACAGAGCCCTGTGGGGCCACAGTCAGACACGTGTGGGTTGCCAGGCAGTGAGAGAGCTGCGGGTTCAGCCACCGATCCTGCTGCTGCACCAGCAGCCCCTCTGCTGCTACAGCCATCGAAGGCCTTTGCTGTTCCGCCCCCTGGTGACCTGGACGTGTCTTTTGACCCAGGCCCTATGGGCCTTGCAAAGGAGACGGAAATGTTTTCCTTCGATCCGGGAAGAACAGGATACATATGGCCTGAAGGCCGAGTTGCTTAACAACTTAAAGCAAGACATATTGCTCCCACGACTAGCCCTGGAATTCTGTGGTGCTTGTAATCAAGAATAGGAACGCAAAATGGGGACGGTTATAAGTCATGGAAGATATGGGAGCACTTCAACCAGCATTACCAACTCCAACTATGCTCCCCCAGACGTGGACATTAATAGTGGTAGACTTAAAAGATTGTTTGTTCTGATTGTACATATGTAGAGGCATACACATGTATAGGTGTACTCAGGTTTAGTATGTAAAAGCAATGTTTTGTATATTTAGAAAGTTTGATGCTTGTGTGTGTGTGTTGGTAGAGTGTAGACTCCCTGCGCACCCAGCACTGTTTACCTGCCTTGTATAAATATTACTAAATTCAGATTGAGTTGAGACTTCATTTATAACATGGATTTTTTAGTAATAGGTGAGGTGAGGTTTCCTTCAGCATCCGCATGTCGTATGTCAGAAATATGCAGCTAATGACAATGCAGGATAGAGCTTATCAAATTACATCTTACAATATTCAGATACAGGAAGACAGAACAGCTAAACTTATACCTTCATTTACTCTAGATTTCTGAAATTTAGAAGTTGTTAAGTTACTTTGCACATTACTGCAAAGAGCTCCAGGATCACGTAGCAAAAGAATAATATGCTCAGCAAAGAGGAGACTATCATCCTTGAGCAGCTGGTGTGAAAGTCTGAACTTGAATACACACTTACAGCACTTTAAACACAACTGTACTTTAATGAATAACAGCTGGTTGTTTTCTTTCTAGTCTAGATGGTTATGTGATGTCCATCTCTGTGATATTAATAAATATCGATTGGGCAAGGGGCTTGCTCGATTACCGTTTATTTCTACTTTGACTGAAGTTTCTGAAGCTTAACCTGAAAGATTAAGTTAAAGCTTAAACTGTGGCACTGTATTATAATTCCTCCCACTCCTACCGTTGAGGAGAACAGACTGATAGTGGTACTTAAGCTTGTTTGTTTTTGTCAAGAAAACAAAAAAAAAAAAGGCAATGAAAACAAACAAAAAATCAGTAATAAAAACAGCCTTTCAATATATTAACAATGGAAACAACTAAGAATAGACTAGCTTGCATATGTTAAACATTTTTTTCTTTGTATCATAAGAATTAGTTTACTGGCGTTGGATAACCAAAAAACTGCACAACATAATGCAACACTGGGAAATGCGTGCATGCTGGGCAGTTTACTTTGATGGGCTGATCCAAATCCTGGTTCAGCAGTTCCACTGGTGTACACTGACTGAAACAGATACCATTTAGAACAAACTTCTTCAATTTCAAGTTCCTTTTCAACTTTGTCAGGCAGACACAAAGGTCTGCTTTTTTTTCCTGAACAGAAGAAAAGTTATCCTGATGGTATTATGCTAACCTCAAAAATGTCAAACCAAAAGTGTTGGTGGGGTTGAAGAACAGGACCAGAAATGCAACCTCTTATCTCTTCTTTTAAAAAATTGTGTTTTTTTTTGCTCTGCTGCCAATCCCCAGAATAAGAATTGGGTAAGTTCTTTTGAAAAAATCAATGTTGATATTGGAAACCAAGTTTCTAGTGTACCATGGAGTTTTTTGTGTGTCCCCCCAGCTTTTCTTTTTTTTTTTTTTTAAAAAAAAAAAAAATGCTAGCTGGCTTCTAGGGGAACTCTGGGCTGATGCATTCCCCTTGGACAACACTGTTTATGGGAAGATAAAGAGGAACCTTATCCCTGATGCAAGGACCTTTCAGTCAGTTTAGAAGAGAAAGCCATGATAACAATGAGACCCCTCCCCCTGCTTCATGCTGAAACAGCTGAGCATCCGGAAGGAATGATAACATGACAGCACTTTGTGAAAGGGAATGACAGGGAAGAAAACAGCAGGGTGGGAACATCACCTGCTTTTCTCAGGTTGTAGTTTTGTAATGAAGCACAGTTATCAGACTGGTTAAGATGTGCCACAGCAACATTCAATTAAGTATTTATCCAGCATAAAACTGATTACACCAACTATATTTACTCAAGAATTTTGATAGGTTAGTTTTGCATCAGGGAGCTTTAAGATCGCTACCCATTTTCTCAGAAACAGCAGGAAGCTGAGTGAAATCAAAATACTAACACAAACTTATAGCATGATCTAATTACCTAAATCACTGCACACATGACTCTCAATCAGATGGGGTCAAATAGCCCGAAGACCTGGTACTAGTTCCACAAAGACACAGCCCTACAATGCTACTGAGCTCCAGCCCAAAGAATGAGACATTCCTTTTGCAGCCTTTGTTACTCTGACCCCTATCATGTAATTGAAAAGTATATTGCCCCAAACAAGTTTCCAAAGTTCCAGGATAAGAGCAGCACTGCAAAATACCAGCAGACAGCTCTACTAAAATGATTCTTAAGACTACATTTCAGTGTTGGGAAGAAAAAGAGGCTTATGTGTTTACCTGATTTCAAGTGCTTTGATTGCTTCTAGCATCTGTAGATACTCAGCTGCTTTCCAAACATCATTTGCTTCTTCCTCACCTTGCACCATTAGTTTTGCTGTATAGGTGAATTCTATTAGGTGACGAAATGCCATGTTACTTACACCTGTTTGGAAGCAAGAAAAGCAAGTTAACAATGCCTCAGTGCCTCAATCTGATGAATCTTGCACACTTGGCCTGCTCACGATACTTTAGCTGCCAGTTTCATGAAGACAACACCCTTGAAAAGCTCATGTCGGAATAACAAGTCTGCTATAGAAACATGGAAACAACTACGGAATCATGCCATAACAAAGGTAAAAGTAAAGGAAAGATAAGAGGGGCTAAAAGCTGTTTGTGTGGAATAGTAAAAAGTACATATTTAAAGTACAATTTATATATTTATTTAGCATTTAAAGTACAATAAAAAAGTACATATTTAAAGCATATTTAGAGCATCTCTCTTTCTCAAAAGACCTCTGACCAGCAGATGATTGTTCCAGGAAATTGCTCCTGGCTTACAGGCAAGTATTACTCTGTGTCTATCTGTTCTTGCATCCCAGCTAAGGTAGGAGTGTGATGGTTGGACCAGGTGATCTTGGAGGTCTTTTCCAACCTTAATGATTCTACGATTCACCCTGCACCAAGGACACCACATCCATTTCCAGTTCCAGCACACAGCTCTGAAAGTTTTTATCTGCATGAACCAGATTACCTTCAATCTCCACCAAGGGCTCCTGAGTGAAATCTTGGAAGAATTTGTAGAAGAACTGGCTACAGGCAGCAAGAACAGCCTTATGAGCTTTGAAATGGTGACCTGTGAAAATAGATAAAAAATTTTAGTTTAGGATGACACCTTCCTTACTTACTGCAGAATGAGAGCAGATGCACAAGAGAGAACAGCGGTAAAACCTAGTCTACAAATCTACTCTAGCAGAATACAGTCACTTAACGTGTCTCCATGTAACATGAGATGCTGCTGCAGCTAGCCTTCCACATCTAATGCGACCCTTGCTGAAGGCAAATCAAAGTCAGAGAACTTGCTCACTTCAGCTTGTTTCTCTTTTCAGATACTTAATTTGTGGCAAGTCCTTGTGCAAACTTTTTTTCATGAATGTCTTAGGCGCAGCTCTCAGATTTCATCCAAATTCTCTGTGCTTTTTGGCATTCCTATGTACGGATCTATTTTATCACCATTTCAGCTAGCTTAAACACCCCTGCAGAACAGACGCAGTTCTGATGTGATCGTTCTCTTTTCCAGACTCTGTAGTCCCCATCACTGTGTTGTCTTCTCCTTGGTGCAGGCATATACACATTTATAAGGCCCCATGAGATCAGGATAAGAGAAGCAATGTAGATTAGAACTATGCAGCTGCACCAAAAAGCTTGGAGCCCAACAATAACACTTGGTAATACAAATAGATATGGTAATACTAGAGAAGGAGCAAACATTCAGGCTAAGTTCTGTGCAAGAAGTGCCAGTGAAATAACAGTGATTCCACAACAGTAATCTCTTCTCCATTCCTTTTTTCTAATCCAGGCTCTACACAATCCCTTTTCTTCGAGTGAGTTCTGGCTATCTTTTTAAGGGTCAAGCAGCACTCCTTTAGTCGAGTCCATTCTACTGGACACTGCCTATCTTCTCCAAAGTGCTCATCCATTCTAAGACATGTTTCAGATTAGAAGCAATCTTGGGTATCTACCAGACACCATCTTTTCTAAGCACTTATATCTCCATCTTCCTTTTAGACTAATATTTACAACTCTAAGACACAGAGGAAAAGAAAAGCGAATTATTCTTCCCTATTTTAAGAATATATTAAAAATAATATGCAGATACTAGAGAAGCAAGGAGGCAATCTTATTTCAAGCTTTTTTTTTTTTAAACCATATTTGTACAAGTTCTCTGCAGTCGGATTTAGTCAAAACAGTCGGATTTAGTCAAAAAAGCATCTTTAAAATGTTTTGGAAATATTTTGGGTGACATTAAATATAGCACAGCAGTTGCAGAGTAGGATAATATCTGAAAATATTTAGCCACTTGTTTGGAAAAACAGAAGCATGATTACTAATCACTGCTGGAGATGCTGTTCACCCCAAGACTTTAAAAGAAAGTCTGCGTGCAACTCACAGACCAGTACTGAACCGAGAATTTGTAAACAGGCCCCTTTGACAGCTGAGCCAAGACCAACCCAAGAGCTTCCCAGCACAGCTTTCATAATTTTTTGTATACTATCTGGTCCATAGGCCTATACATACCATCCACAATCAGAGTGATGTCTGTGAACTGGTCCTGCTCACGTTGTTCGTTCAGTCTGTCCAAAATAACTTTATAGTGCTCTGGGAATTCCTGGATACATTCCATCGTTTCTTCGGCTTCCATGGCAGAAGGACTAGTCTGCAAGAGATGTGTAGCAGAATAATAACACTGCACCGCTCAGTAAATGCTACGCACAGTCAGGTTAGTACACAAATGTGAACTAATTGGCACATATTCAGGGATTACAAAGCCAACAGAAACACCAAACTGGTAACATGTTTGTCTGATTTTAGCTAAAAGGTAGAAAACAATAGGGTTAATGAAGTAGAGTATGGCCTTATTTATGTTTAACAAAGTACAACTGAACAGTGTATCTCTTTATTCTACATATTTAACGAAGACCCACCTCCCTCAAAGCAAATAATGCAGGGACGTAACATCTGTACGGCTAACTAGTTAACAGCATCTCCTCGGCATAACACCAGAATCTTTACACAGCCACTTCCTGCAGTTCTACCGATCCACTTGGTGGAAGAACCGTTCTCAAAAAATCCTTATTTAAGTAAGGCACAGTTGGTATCTACTGAACACAAGATGTTTACTTCCTTTAAGAAAGGATGCAGTAAGGCAGCGCTTTACAGCTTCTGTGTACACAGAGCTGCCTTGTATTTAAAGTGTTGCCACACCCAAGCACAAGAAGCTTCTTATTCACCCAGCCTACTTACACTTCTCCCCCTGCATGGCGAAATATCCGCTGCCAGCCTTTCCAATGAGACACGTGGGCTTGTAATATAATGGCCCTTCCTCCCCTACTGATACAATAAATGTAGCCGTGAGTGGGAGTTGAGGAGGTTATCAGACCTGAAGAGGTTAAGCAAAACACTGTGCCTGTGGAGACGAGGCAGCAGATGCTAGTCTGCTTCTTATGCAAAAGAACCACTGGAGAGAGTCCAAGCGCTTCAATGAAAGCATATCACGAATTATCTCTAGGCAAAACGACTTCAGGTCTGTGCAGCAGCCCTCCTCTTCAACTCCCACGTTCACATGGCTCTCATGCTGAGAATGCCTCAGAAAAAAGTAAAGACATTTCAAAGCAATGTTAGCACAGAAAGTTCAATTTCACAGTCTAACTCACTTTGAAATACACGTGGTATCTGAGAGAAGACAGTGGTTAGACTTGAATGAGCTTCAAATGAATTTGGGAAATACCTTTCACTGTATTGTTATGCTCAGCAGGGACAGAAGGAAGAAAGTTAGAAGAGCAGTTAGGATCTCTGAATACAGAGGTGGAAATTTTTGGTGTGACAAGGAAGCAGGTATCTTTAGAGTGCTGGAAGAAACTAAACAGGAGGTGCTCCCTGACTTCCAGTGCAGATTTGGTTGATTGGAATTGTTAAGTCCAGACTGCAAACCTATCCTTGTGTGCACCAGCTACCTCTGATCGGATGCCGCCAGGCATGCGAACGCCACCGTGTGGCTCCCTAGGGTCGGCTTTCCTTCCAACAGTGCATTCTGTTATTCTGGGGTTCAACAGGAGAGAGGAAAATAATTACCCAGTTATGATGAAAGCAGGCGTTATTTTGTTATGACTAACATATCAAGCAAATAAATTTGTCACATTTGTATTTTAAGCAAAGGACACTCTTCCTTGCATCTCAGAAACCATACCAAAAAGATGACAGAAAGTGAAAGAGAAAGAGGGACAAAAGTGAATGCTTATGGAAGTCTAGTTCTGCTTGCTAGCAGTGCTTTTTAAAGGGGACACTGAAACTCGTATCAGGCTCTTGAAGGGAACAGAGAAGGTCAGCCTGCTGAGAAAGCAAAGTGGAAGGTGCTGCCTCCATCTCACTTCATCTGTAATGAGCCTAAGACGGATGACAAGCAGCTCCCACCTTTCCTGTCATCTGGTATTCAATGTAAAGCCCCACATGGGAAGCTGACAGCCATTACGTCACTGTTGAATTCTTCTTGCTTGTTTTTGAGAAATCATTCAAGGATGGATGACTTGCAGTTAAAGACGTAATTCCTTAAAAGTTAAGGCAAACCAACTTTTGACCCTCAAATATCATGATATCATACCCTCCTACCAAACCTAAAAGTTTGTTTTAAAAAATTGAGTCTTTCTCAGAACACTAAAACAAACAAACACGAAAAACATACGACTTATGTAAATCTGTTGTCCTGAACTACCACAGAGCTCAGCAATATATTGCAAAAAAAGACGATTGTAGCTCTGTGTGTTCAAAGCCCTGTATACGTTCACTGAGGTGACAAATACCATGGAGCAAGAGGTGGGAGGTACAGGAGGTACAGCTCCCTGAAAGAAAGGTGTGGGGAGCTGGGGGTCGGCCTCTTCTCACAGATAACTAGTGGATAAATAGGACTAGAGGGAACGGCCTCAAGCTGCACCAGGGGAGGTTCAGGTTGGAAATAGGAGACATTTCTGCTCAGAAAGAGCAGTCGGGCACTGGGACGGGTTGCCCAGGGAGGTGGTGGAGTCCCCGTCCCTGGGGGTGCTCAGGAGAGGCTGGGCGCGGTGCCTGGGGACACGGCTCGGTGGGTGCTGTTGGTGGCAGGGTGACCTGTGAGGGCTTCCCAACCCTGATGACCCTACCCCCAGGCAAAACAAGTCAGAGGAGGCAGGCAGCAGTGGCCCCACGCGATGCTTATGCACCAGGTGGTGGAAACCCGGCTGCTTCTGTTTCCTACACATTTTTTACGACAGTTTTTTTTTCCTTTTTTGTTGTTGCTGTAGGGCTCGGTACCGAGCTAACCCCGTTCCCCGCTCACGCCTCACACCCCCGCAGCCCTCACACCCCCGCCCCGCTTTTATCACCGCACTCCCGCTCCCCCCGTCCCCTTTTTCCCCCTTTTTTTCCCCCATTTTTCCCCATTTTCCCCACATGCCGCGGCCTGCCCTCCACCCCCACCCCCGCCTCGGGCGGCTCCCTCAGGCGCGGCCCCTCCCATCTTTCCCCCCTCCCCCCTTCTCAGGCACCGCCGCCATCGCGGCCCCTTCCCCGCCCCGACCGCCTCCCTCCCATTGGCGGGCGCCGCCGCCACTCAAAGCCACCCCAGCCAATAGCGGCGCGGCGGCACGGCCCGCCCCCCGCCGAGGAGAGCCAATCAGCGCGCGCCGAGTCCCAGGAGCGGGAGAAGCCGGAAGGCCTACCCAGCGCCCGCCGCCCGCCGCGCCCGCCGGCCCCGCCACAGCCCCGGGCGGCCGCCCGCGGGCACGGGCACGGCGCGGGGCGGCCCCGGGAGGGGAGCGGGGCCGGCGCGGGGCCGGGCGGCGCGGTGTGGGCGCCGCCGCCTGGTTACCCGTCGTTACGTCATCAAAGCGCGCATTAAATCGATCCCCTTTTAACGGCCGGCCGGCCGGGTCGCGGCCCGGCGGCGGCGGGGGCCCCGCGGGGTGGGGAGGCGGCGCGGGCCGGTACTCACCGCCTGCAGCGCTCCGCCCCGCCGCGCCCGCGCCGCCGCCGCCGCTTCCTGCTGCCCGGCACGCTGCTAAGCGGGGCGGGCGCCGGCCAATCGCGACTCGCATTCCCGGCCTGCACCGCGAGGCGGAAGTGACGCCACCGTCACCTTTCACACAGCGGGGCGCGCGGCTGGGCGGCGGGAGGGGGAGGGGAGGGTGGGCGGCGCGCGGCGCGGTGCATGCTGGGAGATGTAGTTCCGGGGCGGGGAGCCGCCATCACGCGCCGCCTGCCTCACGCGCCCCTCCCTCAGCACCCCCAGGGACGGGGACGCCACCGCTGCCCTGTGCAGCCCGTCCCAGCGCCTGGCTGCTCCTTCTGAGAATAAATGTCTCCTGTTTCCAACCTGAACCTCCCCAGTGCAGCTTGAGCCCCTTCCCTCTGCTCCCACCACTAGTTCTCTGCAAAAAGAGGCCGGCCCCCAGCCCCCCGCACCTGCCCCTCAGCCCACTGCAGAGAGCAATGGGGTCTGACCTGAGCCTCCTCTTCCCCAGACTGAACACCCCCAGCTCCCTCAGCTGCTCCTCATGAAGGGAAAGCGCAATTAAATTGGGTGATGAGGCAGCCATCCGTCCCCCCCCAAGTGCCATCAGCCCCACAATGAGCCCCCCACGCTGCCACCCCAGCAGAGGGGCTGCAGCGCTGTCCCCTGCCATGGAGCACCCTGGGGTGCCACAGCACTGCCAACACACTCCCTGCCACACAGCACTTCATGTCACGGTGTAGGTGACCCCGTGCTGCCCACCATAGCATCCCACAAGCCAGGGACGGGGCCGTCTCACCTCCATCCCCACTGGCACGAGTCTCACTGAGCCCACTGCCACACCGAGGGCAGGAGCAGCACACAGGTTTTCCTGTGTCATTTAAACTGAGTGGTGAAGGCAGCATGGAAAGCAGGTCTAAGCCATGCTTTCGCTGGTGCCAGCTCCAACACTGTAACACCGTGTGGCCGCCACAATGCCGCTACCCTGAGCACAGGGGAAGTGGCTGAGCAGCATCCCGCACAGCCAGCAGAGCTGCTGCATGCCCTTGTTATCCCTACGTTCATGCACAGGCTCTGGACTGCGCCCTGGGAGGGAAGGCAAGGGAGTGTTGCTGGCAGCGAGCATCCCCTCTGCTGCCACAGCTGAATGTGGGCACCGTGAGGCCCCGAGTTCTCCTGTAGGACATCACCACCAGCGGCATCTGAAGCCAGCCAGATTTTGTGTGCTGCCAGCAGGTGAAAATGTATTCCTCCACATAAAACACCACTCGCATTTAGGATGTCCAAACAGACACTTTGACATCCCTATGAAAGCCTTTATGTCAATCATAGCTGTAATGGCTGAATGTTCTTATGGGCTTGCCCACGTTATTCCCGTGAATGAATTTGTTTTATGACCTTCTCCTGCACTTTTCCCTAGTGCCAAATCTATGCAATTTGCTTCACCATATTCATCCTCCACTAAAAGGGTAAATGCTTATGAAGTTACCACATCTGTTCAGCATAGAAATCTTACCACATCAAACAAAGTGTAAGTAATAGCCATTCTGTCAAGTTCAAATTTAGTTTTATAGTCTCTCTCTCTCTCTCTCTTTTTTTTTAAATATATAAACTCCTAGGTGCCTGTGCAGTGTTTTATAATGCAATTATACAGAACAAGTTTGAGTTTTATCGATACTGGTGGTTTGTAATGCAATACAAATAACTTTGAAGTAAAATTTATGTTCCTTTTATTTCCTCATGCTATTGCCCAATGGATTTGCTAATATAATAATATATATTTTTTCTTGTGTTGTTAGGTCTGTTCGGACTATTGTTTTCAGTCTAGAAGAAATTTCATTTCTAGAAGAATGACACAGCCATTCTTTTCTGGTATATGGGAGTACGTTAGGAAAGCTGATGCCTCATGCATTTACACCTTCACTTTGAACAACTTTAAAACTAATTTTGATTGAAGTACTGTATCTTCAATAGTTTGAACTTAAAATATTGCTGAAATTACTACTATAGGACCAAACCACTACACAGTAATTAAAAATCATTTATTTTTTCAGTACCTTCTGCCTGTCCAGACAAGGTTGATGCTTTTTTTTTTTTTTTTTTTTTTTTTTTCTTGACCATTTGCTTTTTTTTCCAAAGCATGTTCTGCAGTGTTTCTTTCCTACTTTTTTCCTATGGCTTCACCCTTTTAATTGTTCTGTCAGATTACATGGAAGCTTTTGAATGATCAATTTATATATATATATTTCTAATATCTTTTCAAATATGAAATTAGACTGACCAAGCTGTAACTTTCCAGATTCTCATTTTTCTCTCTTAGAGGTGTGTGTGGTGTTTGCCTAGTATACCTCTAGGATTTTGGAGAGCTATGTATGTTAATGTGTGCTCTTGCCGCCTTCTCTCTCCTGTCTGTGTGGGGACACCCTCTGTCAGGGTGGCTAAGCACATCAGTACGCAGCTGCAGGGCTGCCTGGAGATGGTGACACCCGTCCTGGCACAGGGAAGTGTAACAGCACGGGGAGCACCACCTGTAAAATTCAGGCAGCAGCAAGCCCTAAGTGGAACTTTGACTGGAACCACAGCTGCATGGCACAACCCGTGATCCCCTAGTGGCCAGGGATGTCTCCACCATCGTCTTCTTTCTCCCAGGACTGAGTGAGTGACACGTTCTTTTAGGTAAAGCCCCAAGTCTAGGTTATGACTGTACTGTGAACAGAAAAGAAAGGATTTGACCCGGTCTGCAGAGGGTCTGGCCAGGTGACTGAGAAAAAAGGTGACTCCGTAACTGAGAGTTCTAGAAACTCTGTGCAACTGCAGGCTTTGCTAAGTGCTGGAAAATGTAGACAACAAGCTATGCTGATTGTCAATTTATTTCTTCTGTAATGTAATTCTCTAATTATAACCAGAACTGTGTGGCCTGTTCTCATTCTGCCAAGGATCTGTAAAGAATCTGTCTGTCCTCCATAGTGTTGGGTGACAAGTTGTAAATCTCAAAAAATAAAACAAAATAAAATAAAGGTTTATAGCGTGTTAAACAAACATGAGAATGATCTTTATCCATATGCCTAGTTCAATCTGTATTAGCCATTTCTATGACTAAAAAATCTCTCTCTTTTTTTTTTTTTTTTTTTTTTCTTCCTTGACTCATTGACACTCTGGAAAAATCTGTGTTCATTAAGATAGCCTGATAAGCCTTCTGGACACAACTTTCCACTGAGTTTGGGCATCATACTGAAGCACAGATGTTCTACAGCTCAGGACTTTTAACAGCAGTCTTGAAGAAGGCAGAGGACATTCAGCCAGACTGAGTGTTGGCAGCCTTTCCCAGGGAGATCTGTAAAGTAGCAAACAGAGAAAAATGAATACTAAACTAATTATAGAAAAATGTGAATCATACATTTTCCTTTTTTAAGGTAGAAGTCTGAATCATGTACTTTCATTATTTAATTAAAAAACCCTCTTGTCTGAAGAAATAAAGGAATTAATAAACTGCAGATGGTGAGACCAAGAATTCAGAAGGTGTGCTGATGTGCCAGATTAAGTAAATAACTATTTTCCAGCAGCAGTTGATTCAGATTATAAATAAAGGCCAGAAGGGACCATTAGATTATCTAGTCCAAAGCTGTCTACCCAGCAGCCTGACCTATACTCAGCATGCCGGAGAGCCCTGTCTGGCTCCTCAAATGTTTGTGAAAATTGCTTAGTGCATTCATACACACCCAGATATACTACCACAATGTCCTGATCATGACCAAATGATTCATCCAGGGAGAGAAGGAGTTCAGATAGCTCTAATGTGGCCGTTTCTGTTCTCTTATATTTAAAAAGCCTTATGAAATAACTGCTTAGTCCTGTAATGATAGCAATCACGTGTAAGAAATCTTTTCTACGTTAGAAGACTCAGCATGTTTCCATTGCACAATGTCTTGTTCTGTGCATAAAGGGGCTTTAATGTCATGCCTAGAGCAAGGCAGATGTATGCTGTTACGCAAGAGAAAAACATGTCTGTAGAACCTCTCTGATAAGTATGCATAGTGAGACAATACCAGCGACTGAATATTGTAAAGGAAAATAAATATGGGCTGTGCCTCAGACAGAATGATAAAGGGCTCTTCTGATAATTCTTCTCACTCCATTAGTGTCTCAAGAGCAAAGGGAAGATGTAAGGAACTAATGAAAGTCAAAATTATAGCGATAATTGTAAAATGTAATACTTAAAAACCGTAACATGCTGAATTGTGAACTGATACTAAAAATCCTTAAGCCGTGCATCTGTGACACAAGGATATTGGCTTGTTCCTTTGTTATCTTTATGTTTTCAGAGGAAATG